AAGTTTAAGACGAAAAAGAAAATGATGAACAAGACGAGAAACCCAAAGAAATGAAAGAAATAATTGATATTTTTTAATATTTAAATTTATTATTTTTGGAGGTTCGAAATTAAAATCATGTTTCGTAAATTGATTGTTAATAAACGACCCATTTACAATAAAAAGTATTTTTTAAATTAAAAAATTCTGACTTTATATAAATTATACTTTAAATTCCTACAATTTGTTTTAATAAAAAAGAAAGAAATCTTACAGCTGGTATCGCAAACATAACGATTATACCAAAAAAAAATATTTTAACATCGTCTAAATTCTAGGCAGATTTCTACCTTAGATATAATAAAATTTATTTATTCAAAAATATTTCCGGTTTAATTCATTTCACAATGCTAATTAAAAAAAAGTATATTGTATTATTTTATTTTTCTGAAGTTTTCGATCCGTATTTGTTTAGAAATTTATTTTAGTATTCGATATATGAGTGGGTTCGTTAGATAAAGCTCTGATATAGATTCGTGTTGCGCGGAGGAAGTGACAGGTAAAAAAATTATATCACGTGAAATTTCGTGCATTTTTGAAGGGTATACTGCGGAAATTTTTACAATTTATTTTGAAAAATCAGTTTCTTTTTATAAAATTGCTACCACCATCAATAATATCTTAAAAATAACAGCATATCTTAAAAAAAAACTCAATTTTCGTTTTCGCCGCAGCTTTTCGTGATAATTAAATTTGTCATCAAAATCAACGTCAAAATTTTTTTTTTTCAGAATTTAGATTTTAAATTTATTTTATTACCGTCCGGTGACGAATGTTTTTTAAAAAAACTTTATTTTTTAAAATTTATTTACTAGGATTTTTTTTTTTTTAAAAGAATTTTGCTACGGAGGTTATAAATTATTTTGAATCAGATAACAGGCACGATCTCTACAATTCTTTGGTTGGACAACTCTTAAAAACTATTGATAAGAAAGGATTTTGCGGATTTAAACAAAAAGGTGCGTTGTTTATTTTGCTAAGGAAGGGAAACTCCTAGTTTAATTACTGTGTTTGTTCGTTTGGTATCTATCAATTAATTCAGGCACCCTAACTTTGGTGTTGCTGATTATGAAAGAGATGTATCTTCTTTTACCACCAATAACAATCCCTTTCTCATGATGAAATTTACTAGGCTAAACTTATTTTACTATAGAATTCCAAAAGAAAACGGTAAACCATCAATAACAAAAGATATTAAACTCTGGAAGAATGAAGAATTGGCAAATTTTTCTCTTCAAGACCGTGCAACCCGCGAAATTGGGAGAATTATGCCGATCATAACGTCGATGAGTTGTGCTTATATATTGGAGGCATGGATCAAGATGAGGAATAATGCAAGGCGGTTTATTCTCGAGTTCAAGAATATAAGTTTCACTTCTTGGATTTGCGAATCAGTCACATACTTGGTCTTTCTGCGCGATAAAAACTTAATAATCTTATAAACATTTGTTAAAAATTCATGGGAACTTTATTTATTCATTAATAATAACTGAAATTTTTTAAACGATAATCATACAACTCATATGACAAGAAAGAAATAAAATAACTTACGTGACAGAGCATTACGATGACAGGTAATTCCATAAGGTAATCTACCTACCAAAAGGATCCGCTTATCCTAAATGATAAGCATCAAAAACCATACTTTCTCAAAAACTTTATTTATAATTTATAATATTGTCAGATTCTCTGGTTATGATAACCTAAAACTAACTTTAAAAAAAAAATCAAATAAATTAGATCGAAACAAAAAAAAATAATAATAATAAAAAAATAAATAAAATCTACCAACTAACCTGGATTTTCCAGGTCGAATCGTGTCAGGTAACGGGTCAATCCGAACTTATTCAGAGTTCTAGTCTCTATGGCCATTTTCATTTCAACGTTCTCTAACGCAAGTTATCAAGTGCATATCCTTAAGGTTGACCTTCTTTCGTTAGATTTAAGCTAGCTCATGTTTTGGTCTTTACATCATTAGCTCTATTGAAAAAGGATAAATAATTAAACAATAGTGAGTAACAGAAACAAAAAATAATCATGTGCAACCTCAAATATGAACGCCAAGGCGTCAATACACACTCAGTAGTAGAGATAGAGCATTAACGTCCTTCCTATTAGAGAACACATTTTCCCCTAACGTATTGACTATTCAGCCTTTCCTATCACCAAATTTTAGTCCGCGCCGTATATGGCGTAATAGATATTCTTCTACGATCAAGCACATAAAATGACAAGCATAAAACTAATTTTTACTTCGACTGCAAGCAAGAACATAACCCATCCTCATACAGAAACAGTAGACTCAACATTCACAATCTACTCAGTCTTACCTGGTATTAGATAGAATAAGTCGTCGAAAGATAAAATAAATAAAAAAAGTTCAATTTTTTTTTTATAGAAATAAAAATAACGAGAAAATTCTAAAGTATATGGCTTGACTTGAAAAATAGTAGAATTAAAAATGGCTCTCAGAACCTTTCATTTTGTATTTTTAAAAATATTTGCATCATAAAGTGTAGTAGAAATTGGTGAGTTTATATAAATGATCTATAAATTACGTCATTGAGAGGATAATTTTACACGCGGTAATTACTACCTTTTTATTATTTTTGAATCAGGTAGCAATTCTAACTAGGAAATGATGGAACAAAAGGCGAAGTTAGTCAAACTATGGTGGATATTTTCAATGAACAACTTCTCAATTATGTTGTCAATAGAGACGCACCTTGGTTTATTGGTCTTTGCTCGATGCTAGATTTATAAGTAAGCTCAAATCAGTCAACTCCTAACGCTCATCTCAAATTAACCGGTTAAAGATTCCAACCTCAACTTTTAGCTTTGAAAAATCAAAGGGTTTTTCATTCATCTCCTCATAAGAATATCAAACAAAACTGCGATAGGCATTGTGATAAAATCAAAATCGTTCGATCGATCATATTCGTATAAATTATTAGTCTAAAAAATTTTCATATTATCGACAGATTTTGGACAAGAATTAAGTTTTGGCTTATCAATAACTTCAAAAAGTTTAATAATTCATATATGATCACATAAGTTTGAGATTCATTGCAATGTATGATTTCGTTAAGTAAATTCCAGATTCATATTCAGTTTCGTCAACAGCTTTTTTGATATCATTTGTAGTTTGAGGTATTAAAGGTGAAAATGAAGTAACCAAAACATGATGATAGCATTTCAGTATAATTAATCTTCTTTTTCCTTCAAAGTGTCAACTCTAAAGAAGATTCTTCCTAAGATTTCCCATCTAAGAAAGTCAAAGTTATAATACTCTCCAGCATCATCTATAAGGTCATAGTCTACAATCGAGTTTGTACGCTTTATGGACTGATGTTTTGCATGATCACTGTCGATAGACAAATAAAAAAATCAGTTTAATTATTCTTCCGTTCAAGGTTAATTTTTCCTTCATTTCATCGGCTTCACCTGTTACATACAGTAAATGCATAATTTAACAAAAATCTTAACAAATATCAAGAAACAGAACAAAACGAATCGCAAATGGTGAGTAACAGGAAGAGTCCCGATGATCAATTCATGTAAAGACTTGCTGGTAGTTTCCTATCATCACTTGGGACATGTAAAGACTTGAAACCGTAATTTCCTAGACAAGGAAAGCAGAACATATAGAGACAAATCGGGAGGCTACTTCTGCTTGTATTGGAAGCAAAGTTTCTGGTAATACTTTGAAAGTAGTTTCACCTCCTGAAGAAATCATTTATTCCATGTGTTATTGAGGGAATTCCATTGGTGGTAAATCGATAAGAGCACAGTTTAGGGTCAGAGTTGGAAATTTTTGGAATTATGCTATGTTACTAGGATTATCGTAAACAAATTAATTAGTACTTTAGAGATAAAATATTCATCACTATGTGACCAGAATAAGAAAAAAGATGTGATCGAACCAGTCAAGCTTTCAACTATATATGATTAGATGATATGTACGACAAGACATTTTACTCATTGTTTTGAAATCACAAAGAAAATAATTTTACAAACCCACCTTCTCACATTTTATGTTCGAAGCTAGACTATATGTACCTAGTCATGTTATCATTAAAAGTTGGGTACGGAATTATCAACTCCTATCATCTAATATTGCTCGAATGTAGTGATGGAATTGCAAATAAAATAATAACCTATTTTATTTCAAATGATGTGTGATTACTTATCTATTCAAGATACTAGTGTTGCATCAAGCAAGCCTTTCAATTAGATAGCATTCAGCAATGGCTAGGGAAACATTCTATGTAAAAGGTTTGATTCGAAATAATATAATTAAATAAGTTATTAAAAATAAACAAATAAAATTTTTTTAAAAAAAATAAATCTAATTATAACCGATTTAAAAAAAGTCTTTTGAACTGAAATTATAAATTGGTCCAGTTTGGTCCGTCCTTAGTTTTAAAACTAGTTTTAAGAATGTAGACGGACCAATCTATCCCTGAACTCACCTGAAAAATATATCGTAATTACTGATAATATACAGTCAAATTATAATCGGATTTAATTCTTCAACCGTAAAAGTTTAATTACCATGATAGTTATGCTACTCAATTGCCGTATTAATTTTGACTTTTCCTGTTAAGCTCTCAATAAAAAACCCAATTGTCATGTGATAAGGAATTCACAATTGAACCTCATCTTTACCATCATCGTATTTTCTTGACCTTGATAACATTTTACTATTTGTAAATTGTTATGTCATCTTTATAAATACACAAAGGGGTGGAGTGAATCCTTTTCATAACTAAAAGATATTTTAATATGTTCGACTACTTTTGACTTGTTAATAATCATAGTAGCCTTTTGATTAATTTTTTGTAGTTCTATAAATTGACCATAAAATTATAGCCACGATTGCTTTTAATGAGTAATCCATCCCAACTAGGAATATTCTGAAGTTTAAGTTGAACACTCGAGTTTGATCTGTTGCAACGATATTAATTTGGTATTCTCTAAGATGTTATAAAAAATATATTTTTTATATATTGTAAATTTTTAAAACAAATGTATATATAATATGATAAAATATTACCTGCGATGAATTCATATTACGACAGTGTTTGTAATCAGAGAACAGAATAAGATTCGCAAGAATATTTGTCAGCGCAAATTCTTGATGAGTTGGTACATTGATAACATACTCATCCAGATAAGAGATATTCACGAAAACCTTATTTTTAAAATAAAATAATTTAATAAGTTGTAAATCTTATGCATGACGCTATTCTATATACAATAAAATGAATAGGAACAAACATATTCAGGTTTTTGTTGAAAAGGTACTTGACAGGATGAATCATGCGTGATGGAGAGGAGAATAAATAAATTTCTGGAAAATTTTTCTTCATTAGAAGCTAGAATGTATCAAATCTTGAAATAAAATTAATACTATATTAAAAGAAGTTATCGAATGCAAAAAAAAAGAGAAATAAAATTAAAATTTAAATGTTAATTTTCTCAAATCGGTTGCTATTGCTTTTGGCTTGTTTACTATCTCGAAAATGTTGGTTCAAGAGTTTAAATCAGTTTAGGCATAATTTGTTAAATCATAAATTAATAAAGACACACATTAAATCAAACCATATTGAAACAAGGTTTCCATCTCGTAGCAAGAAAATAAGGTAATTTTCATCCAATATCTTTTGAAAAGGATGGATTATTAAATCATATTTAGAATTGAAATATAAAATGGTAAATGTGAGGATCGTTCTTATACGTACTTTCATTAAAACACACTTTTCTTTCACATACAATGGGACGAAATCATTATGAACATCGATAAGTTTCTCTTTTATAATCATTCCTTATGAGATATTATCAACACGATATCTACACCAAAATTGTGGAATTTAAGGATATTATGCAATATTTTCTCTTAAGGTGAGTATAAGATTTCTATTTTTCAACAAAAATGCAAAATCAAAAATAAGGTATTTGTGTTACTGATTAATCATGTGGCGCACCATCTCCTTATAGTATAAAAAATTTTGATTTCAGCCAACAAAATTACCTGTTATCTAACACGAGTTAAATTGTTCTTCATGAACCAATGAGAATACTGTACGAGCGAGCTTAACGATGTATCGTGAATCTAGTAGATTTTTTTCTTATACAAAATTAAATTATAAGAAACTTGAATTTTGATCGTCACTAATCGAATTAGTCAGAGGCGAAATTAATGTAAGGTTCTCAAATATAATTTTGGCAATTTTTAATTAGAAAATTTTTAATTAACAATACCCGTAAGCAATTATTCAAGAAGTATTTTGAGGAAGAGCTGTCATAAATCGTAGAATAATTATTAGGCTATCCTACTCACATTCATATGAAAGAAATAAATTTTTTTCTTTCTGAATTTGTTTGATTATTATTTAAGGATAACAGGTTTACCTGAACTTCTCAAAAAAAAAAAATAAAATAAAATAAAATATTAAATTTAAATAAATCAAACTTCAACAAATAATAACATGTGCATCTAATGATCCCAATTCGTAAAGTTTAGCTCATTAGATTAGCTTCAATATTTGATCTGTATTGAGTTATATTTAAAAAATACATATAATTTGGATTTGAGATATAGGACATAAAAAATAGGAACTTTAATATAATATAGTTTTGGGATAATTACGTAAAATTAATGCTGAATTTTACAATTTTAGGTTCAGGAGTATTCATAATCGCGATCTACGCCAAAAATTTAACATATTTAATATAGTTTTAGCTAGATGTATATTAGCAAGACAACTGATTTATATGTTCTAACGTTAATATTGCTGTTATACTATCGAATGTTAATGATATAATGCTTTTAACTTGTACTTTCCTTCGGTAAGTGTTATGTAATCAAATACGTTATTGAATTTTTTGGGTGAGATATCGATCAGAAACAAAAAGTAATATTAATTATGCATTCAAATTCTTTAAATAGGATATGTCTGTTAAAGTTCATATTTGAAGGTTTTATTTTTATAATATGTTAAAATGTTTAAAATTTTAGGTGAGGTTTACGATAGTCGGTACTGAATTCAATATTTTGGATTATGATCATTGTCTTGAATATATGTAATAATATTATTCTTGTTTATACATTATGAAACATTTAAATATAACTTTAACTATTTATTTTAATTAAAGCTTTTAATGTCATCGAAAAACAATGCTCACAATGTCTATTTCATGCGCAAATAATTCAAATGATACTTATAGTTATGGAATAAGATAATATTAGGTGAATTGATAGCAATTCTTATTTTCTAATCATATTCATCTCCATACAGAATCACAAAGAGGATCTGTAAATCATGTGAATCATCTACTCAAGTTTCATGGAATCCAAGATTTTCAAGTTGTCAATACTTTATAATTGCAACTTAGAATTATTTAAACATCCTAATTGGAAATAAATTAATAGAATTGTATTCTTTATTAGGCATTGATAATGATTATTAATTTTAATTAAAGTATCACAAGTTGACCAGTTAGTCTAGGTGAATATAAAGAATATAGGTAATCGGTTTTATTAAAAAAGTTTATGCAGCAAGAATTTTCTTCAAGTTTTGCATGTAATTGAAATTCAAACTTTGTAATTTTGAAGGTTTTACATAATCTTAAGAATAATTTGTATCATTTAATAACAATTGATTATATACTGTACTACATTAATCTGATTTTGACAAATTTTAGCTTATTTAAATTATCATATAGAATATCAAAAACTAGTATCAATTTTGTGATAAAAAGTTTTAAGTAAGAATATTAATATAGTTTACTAAATTACATAAAAATTATTGTTAATAATTTCGTATCAAATTGTTATAAGATATTTTCTTACTTGAGAATTAAAATTAATATAAATCGTACTTTTTAGAATTGTGATTAATTAAAAGAAGTACACAATTTTTATAACTTTTCTTTTATTGTATCTGTATTTGAAAAATTTAAAATGATAAATCAACTTAAATATTTGTATACTAATAAAGTTTAAAATTATTTATAAAAAAAAATTGTCTTTATTTCATCATGTCTAAAAAAGGTTAAATAAATGAAAATAGCTAGTAATGTTAGATGATAATTCACTTTCCTTATACAGTATATAAAAAAAATTCCTTTTCTCATTGCCAGGCAAAAACTCATTTTAGCAAATGGCAAAAGCCCTATATATCGACACTTTAATAAAGTTTTGACTTTTGTCAGATTTTATTATGGTTTCAAGTTTTGACAGTTTTACTAATGAGATGTTATTATAGTTTTGCTAATGACCTGTTGAAAACTTGAGAGTTTTGCAGGCAATTATACATTCAATACAAAAGAACCTTTTTTTTCACAGTAAAGATGACCGCCTCAGATAAGTTAAGAATGACCATTATATTAGGTAGGAAATTGTCTTGTCGAATTAATACCAGGTGAACTTGCGTCATTGTCATTTCACTTTTGATAAATCAGTAGGATAGAACTTGAAGCGTTTTGAGGCCTTCTCTTTAATAGTTTTTGTCTAAGGATTTGTTTGTTTGAGTGAAGGACTACTAATTCTGAAGTAGAGATAAGTTATATTTTTCTTTGCATAACAACATTATCATATTTAGCGAGTTTACTCTCAAAAAAAAGTGCAAGAACATCCTTCGCTATTGCCAATCATTTACCTACTTAAAGTAGCGTTTAAGAAATTATTTTATCTTGCTGATCAGATGTTTTTGAACTGGAAATGAGAACTTTCTTCTCCCTTTTATTTATC